TTACAGAGTCACTAGTTGATTTTGATTTTTGGAGGTCTAACCGTAGGTAGCAGAGAAGGAATATAATCACTGATTAGTGTTTTTTGTATGTTTCTCACATCTGGGGAATTTATGCTGTGTTGAATGAGAGAAAGAGGTGAGGAATCCTCTTTTAACTCTTGACTCTCCCACTCCAGTCGTTGCTTTTCCACTCCAGTCGTTGCTTTTCTTTCTGTTACTTTGTTATTGGCCCATGTTCCTAGAGTTTTGAATGGTTGATTTGGCTGCTCCTTGTCAAGTCTCAGTTACATTGCCATAGATAGTATGTAACAACAACACGAGTATGACTGACGCTCAAGTTCGGTCACTAATCAATTGTTTAGTGGATCTTTTAGCTATTTTATCATAAGTATGGAAGGGCTTCTTTCCAAGTATTTCAGCCAAATAGTAATTGGATATGCTGTATCACCGATTTTTGCTCTTCAAAGGGAAAATCCTTCACGATCCTGTTCCTCTAAATTTACAGGATCACTCTATGGTAATAACTTGTAACAGTGTTTATATATGGTTTGGTGTAAACATCAGTAAGTTTTTATTGACCATTTTTAAAATCCAAAAAACATTACAATACCTTTATTTTGGGTTAAATATCTTTTTAAGTTCTGATTCTTGTTTGGCAAAAGTAAAGACCCTTTTTCTTTTTTTTTACGGAAAACTTAATGATGTGATAGGAAATTTGAAATTTCATTAATAATTGGTATTGGCAGAAAAAATTTGAAACTAAGGAAAAACAGTATACACATTGCGAAAAATAGTGGTCAATTAAAACAAAGAAAAAGTAATCACTTTACTTTTATTTACTTTTACTTTCCTACTATTAATAAGAGGCAATTGAGGAGCTTGGGGTCGTCCTGTCAGCTTGAAGGAATATTGTTTGCCAATTGATTAGCTCATTATTACTACAATTGCCATCATTATTGTAAATAAAGGGTACGATTGAGCTATTTTGCAAAGGCTACATAATCACTCTACTTTGACTGCATGTACAGCTGCTTAGTCATTTATTCTCCACTAAGCCACGTAAGATGATACAAGTTGTAAGGATTTTCATCTTTTTGTATAAAGGGATGAGGATAAAATTTCTAAGGTTTTCTATTAGGTCCCATCATATACCGTGAGCAAGCTAAATTATAGCCCATTTTCCATTGTATATACTATCTAATATGTGCTAAATAATTTTAAACTTGTGGAAAAAACTAATTCTTATACTATGCTTGAAAGGTAATCTAGAGAGCATTTTAAGTCTTTTAAAACTCAGTTGAGACCTTTGGAGTCTACTCCATTTTTAAAATATTCTAAAACTACCGTTTGTATTGGTAAAATCCAATTTGAAGAACAAGTTGTAAAATTTGATTTTTTAGGCTTTAATGTTAAACCGATTATTAATAATTTACATAAATTCAAAGCAAAAGAGCAAGAACATAAAAGTATTATCAAAACAATAGTGACGTTTACATGGTTATTTAGGCAGAGTACCCGTTTATATTTATAAAACTCATCCCTTAAAATATTACATAAAATAGTTTTGTATGTCAAATACTGCGATAATTTACTTACTACTAAAGTATACAACAGTATAAATAATCGAATCAGTTGTTAAAATAACAGGGCAACAACATAGAAGAAGGCGTACCACTAAAACTCTTATGACTATTTGGTATAAGTTCAAATATATAGGATTTAAATCTTACTTGATATTATCTAAAATTATGTTAAAGAACGATAAGATATTAGCTTTTCCTTATGATAAACATAATAAGAAAAGCCAAACACTTACTAAGCTTATTCTAGATGTTAAGATGTATTACAGAAATTTACATCCATTACAATTCTTACAAACAAAAATTGATGTCACTGACGAATAGGTGACAAAAAAGAAATGATAAAAACTAATTATCAAAAATCACACAATTACAATGAGCATGATCGAGTTTCCATATTCAAGACATGCACCATCATTGTAAACTTAGTTTGATTACAATTTTTATCATAATACTTATTATTTTTAATGACACCTAATTTTTTGGGCACTCAGGGTGATTTTCAGTGTATCGATGATAGTTTTTTAAAAAAAATATTGCATTTGTGATTTTAAATTGAATAAGAAGAGAATTATATGTGATTGGTAAAAAGATTTACTATTAAATTAATTGGACGTTGCAGGGATATGAGATAAAAATATATAGGTGCAATTCTCTTACTTCAAAAATATCGAGATCAAGTATATACTTTTCCTAGCCAAATATAAAATAAATCATGCACAAAAATTTAAAAAATAAAAACTAATTTATCAAAATGAAGAGTTGTCGAGATGTCAATGTATATTTTAGAATTTCAAATATTAGAGCGATGCATGCTCATTCTTACAATTGCTAAAAGAGATAATAACCACATTTTACTCAGATAGCTTTAGAAGCTTTTCATAATGATTTTGTAAATAGGGGTTTTTCCAACTTTTATAACATGAACCTGCCATTGCTTGAATTCAAAAGATAAATTAGGATTATATATGAAATATAACACAAAGAAATATCCTTTTTTTTT